CGAACTCGAGAGACGCACGTTAAGCATGAACCAATTCTTGTTATATCATAAGTCAGATTATTCTCGTATTTTCATTTATTGTTAGTTAGGATCTATTGGAGGACTGACGTATAGATGACGTCATTAACATTTTTTTGTTTCTTTGTTATAGATTCCATGTTGCCACGCGTCTCTAAGCAATAGATCACAGTCAGAATGTGGCAAGAACAACAGGGACACACGCTACCGCCTGGTGTGCTACTTGTTTGTTTTTACCACATTTTGACGTCATCGGTGATCTATTGCTGAACAGACGCACGTTAACATAGAATCTATTTGTTAAATTGAGACAACTAAGTAAACGTAAGCATGCATTGTATGTCTGGTAATGATGTAGGCTCGCGCTTATGCCGATAGCAACTTTTTAACCTTAGCTCCTCGTCACAGCAAATGGTAGAAGATATAGCTAAAAAAGGGCTAATTGATGGCTAGCTTTCTAAAACCCAACTTGAAAATCTCCATAAAAAACGGCGACAATAGAAGATGAGGGTTAAGAGAGTAACTCTCCAATATAGGCACCATTAACAGGGTAATCATCTTAGTTGCAAGCTATTTTTAGATCACTACGGCTTTCATAAATCACAGGTGGGTTTAGAAATAGACAATCCTGTGACGAGCGGCTTTACATGCATTGTCATCCCCCATAAAAACATCCACGTCACACGCGGAAAGCTCTTGGGAGGGATTACCTAAGGGAAAGGGCCTATATGGGGGATAAACTCTCTTAGTTTTCTCCTTCTCTTGAAAGCGGTTACATGTAATTTATTTCATCAACTTAACTTGATTAAGGCGGAAATAATTAAGCCGACACACAACAGATCGAACAAGCATCTCAGTTATGTTAGATCCACGTCGCTGTGGTATTTCAACACGTAAGTACACAGGCCCTATTAATGCAGAAAATTAACAGGTTTCAACGTTTTCCATGTAAATATTCTCCATGATTATTAGGGATTTTATTTTGTGTTTCAAAAGATGCGAAGCCATCCCTACCAAAGTCATGTCTTGATCCCATGGTTCCATACTTTACTGGCCGCCAGAAGGAGTGCAAAGAAATCACTGGTCACGTAACTTCTGGATCCACCCGAATCGTGTCGATCTGGGGTTCGCCAGGATTCGGAAAAACGTCGGTTGCAATCGACGTGGGACATCATCTCCATTCTCAAGGAATGCCTGTCTACTACCTCTCCTTACGAGGACTTCAGTCAAAAGCTGATCTGGCATCAAAGCTTCTTAGCCTTTTCAGACCACCTGTCGCAAGGGATGAACAAAACCAACTGCGTCTTTCAAGCGATGATGAGGTTTGCTATCTTCTCAGCGGAATATCAGATAATTTTACAATAATTCTTGATAATGCTGATGAGTTATTAAGTGAGGAGGCGGATATGAAAGTAAATTTCCTTAAAGACATTCTCAGACGAACCGAGAAAGTGACATTCGTAATAACCACGAGGGAATCTTTAGAATCTATCAATGTGCAATTCTCAGGTTACCAGGCTGTGAGAATAGGTCCATTAGACGAGTCCTCTTCCCTAGAAATGGTTCAGAAATTACTCCCAAAAGCAACGGACTCTGACTGCAGACGAGCGGCGCAAATCTGTGGGCATGCACCTTTGGCTATAAGGATAATGTGTGGCGCTTTTTCTGGAGATGATGTTGAACCGAGTCAATCTCTGAGTGACTTTCTCAATGCCCTAGAAAGTAAGAATATCTTGGATATGTTGGACAATCCAGATTATTTAAACGATCTGAGATTGAAACACCTATTGGAATCTTCTTTTCGGAGACTCCCTGCTCAGGAAAAAGAAGCCCTTGTGTCCTTGAGTGTTCTTCCAGCAAGTTTCGATGTAACTATTGCTGCAGCTGTTCTGGGTATATCGGAAATGCCGCTGGCAAAGAGGGTATTGCTTTATCTTCGGAGAAAATCATTTCTTGATTCAAGTACCAAGCACGGGTCGTTCTCAATGCATCAGCTAATTCGTTCGTTTGCAAACCAAAGGGAAGAGCATGAAATGAAAGAAACGATTCTAAGATCAAGAACCCGTTTGTGTGCATTTTACGTCTCCCGATTCGAGAAGCTAAATGAGAAGTTCTTGACAAGTGATTCCATGTCGGCATTTATTGACTTCTATGAAGATGAACAAAGTATAACTCAAAGTTTAAAAGAGGGCTGTTCGGACTCTAAAACAGCTAACAGCGTGTTTGAGGTGTTGGTGAAAGCTGAGCTCTTTCTGTACTCAGTTTACTGGAGAGATAGATCCAAATTTGACAAGATTTACGACTCAGCTCTAGAAATGGCTAGGAAGCTCGAAGAAAATGTGTTCTATAGGCAACTGCTTGTTTCCAAGGCTTTGTATCAGGTAACTTGGGGCAAAAGAGGAAACACGATGCAGCTGCTCTCTGAAGCGAGGAATCTTGAAGAGTCATGTTCTCCCGTCTCAGATGATGACAAAGGAAAGCGATTGTGTTATAGCGGCATCTATCAACTGGTTAACGGCCAAACAGAAACTGGAATTCAATCCTTAGAAGAGGCTGTTTCTTTAATGAGTGGCACCCCCGAGAAACCTATTCTCAAAAATATTGCTTTTGAGATCCTTGCTACCTATCATGGCTACAAAAATAACTCCTCTGGAATGTCAAAGTTCGTCAGCAAATCATTTCAGGAATGCCAGTCACCTGTAATAACACAACTTCCTCTTATTCCTCCAATGGAAAGCACAGGAAAGAAAACTGAAGAAAAAGGAATGACACAACAGCCTCTAAAATTAGAAATTATTTCTCTTGTGAGTGATGCAGCAAAACATTTAATGGACACTGAAACCAAGCGATGCATAATCGACGCAGTGCAAGACATAACAAATGACATCAGAAAAACCCCAATCCAAAGTTCACTTGGTTCATTTATTTTCCAGTGCAATGCCAATATCACGCTACAGTGTGTTATGAGCAAAGATGAAGGCGCAGACGAAACGCCCCAAGGAAGAATTATCAGTTGTCACGAAACGGCAGTCAATCTACGCAAGTGCCCCAGGACAGCTCCAGCTAAACGAAAAAGCACTCCTAACAAAGAAATCAGGCCAAGACCATTTCAGGCTACACTACGGTCACGTAGGCCTGTAAAAGCGGATAGCCAACAACCTTCCAGACTAGCTGAAAATACACAACAGAAAAAAAGCCACCTTACATGCATTTCAACAACTCAGGCTAAACAGCAAGGTCATGACTCAAAACTTATTAAAGAGACTGGAAAAGAACATTCAAACATAGCTGGCAGTAACCGTTTACCGTGGAACGCGCAACATGAACAAGGCGACTTTTCCTCAGCTCTTCAGTCTGTACAGCATGCATTGGATATCAGACTTAAAGTGCTGGGAGAAGACCACTCGATCACAGCTGACAGTTACCATTCACTCGGGATCACACAACATAAACAAGGGAACTTCTTCTTAGCTCTTCAGTCTAAACAGCGTGCACTGGATATTAGGCATAAACTATTTGGAGAAAAACACTCAAGCACAGCTGACAGTTACCATTCACTCGGGATCACGCAACATGCACTAGGCGACTTTTCTTCAGCTCTTCAGTCTAAACAGCGTGCTCTTGATATCAAGCTTAAACTGTATGGAAAACAACACTCAAGCACAGCTGTCAGTTACCATTCACAGTCAAGCAGAGCTCACAGTTGTCACTCACTCGCGCTAACACAATATAAACTGGGCAATTTTTCCTCAGCTCTTCAATCTGCACAGCGTGTACTGGATATTCGGCTTAAACTGTTTGGAGAAGAACACTCAAGCACAGCTGACAGTTACTATTTACTCGGGATCACGCAACTTGAACTAGAGGACTTTTCCTCAGCTCTTCACTCTGCACAGCACGCACTGGATATTAGGCTTAAACTGTTTGGAAAAGAACACTCAAGCACAGCTGACAGTTACCATTTACTCGGGGCCATACAATATGCACAAGGCGACTTTACCTCAGCTCTTCAGTCTGCACAGCGTG